AAAGAGGAATACGGCGAAGAGGAACAAGTACATGGAACCGGGGAGGGGTTGGGAGGCAGAGCGGATCGAGCCACGCGAACGAGTTTCAGGGCTTCCGGCCTGAGGAGGTGACCAGAATCATGGGGCCGCTATAAACAACGAGAAGAAAAGTGGTTTGAAAAATTTGTGTACGTGAATCGGGTTTGATTTTCATTTTCTTGCTTGTTTAGCTTTATTCTAATTTTTTAATTATTTAATTATTCATAATATTCATAATATTCGGAGTAGGTATTATATCGGATAGATAAAATCGGCCCCAAAACTCGAACGAGCGATTTTAATTTTCTTGTTTATTTAAGTTTATTGTAATTTTTTAATTATTTAATTATTCGGAGTAGATATTAAATCGAATAGATAAACGAGCGATTTTGATTTTCTTGTTTGTTTAGCTTTATTGTAATTTTTTAATTATTTAATTATTCGGAGTAGGTATTAAATCGAATAGATAAAATCGGTTCCAAAACTCGAACGAGCAATTTTGATTTTCTTATTTAAATTTATTTAAGTTTATTGCGATTTTTTAATTATTTAATTATTCACGATATTCGGAATAGATATTATATCGGATAAAATCGGCCCCAAAACTCGAGCGCGCGAAAATTGAAAACCAATTTTTATCGTTTGATCGGGCAACTTACATTTTTTACTGCGTTGGCGGATCGCTCGTATTATTCGCGGCGTGCTTCTTTCCCTCCTGTTGTTAAGGGTGTACATTAGGTGTCGATTATACCGATTCGCACTAGGCGTGATTTAAAAGCATGCACGCCCAACTTTTACTCCGATAATTACCCAAGTTTCGTCGAAGACTTCCCGCTAAGATCCTCGCACCCGCTTGAAGACCTCTCCGTGGCAAAAGTTACCTAGGAGTATATATAACGAGAGTAATAACAAAGAGGGAGAATAAACGACGAGAATTATTTTTATCGATATTTTCATTGTTGTCGTTCACCCTTCTTCGCGAAACATTGATTTTTCAAAAGTGAAATGGAAGAGGCTTTCGCGGATCGTTCGTGGAAAAGAATTTTTTTTTTTTTTAATCGAAACAAGTAAAAATAACTCCTTTATACAAGTTCGAAATCGATTTTTATATTTCTATTAATTCGTTTCCTTCCGTCCAAATTATCTGTGTTGCTCGTTCCTCGTTTCGTTTCCGTGACAAAAATCCTTTTGAAAAAAACTGCTATACGATCATCGACGCGAAAAAAAAAAAAAAAGGAAAAAAATGGTTTAAAGTTCAAAGCCCGAAATGTACCTCGAAGCATTTTTCGATTCTAGATATTTTTACCCCGGAAAAACCCGATACGTGACGCGAAGTGACGTAAATGGACGCTTGTAAACACGGTTACGATTCTGTCACGGTGACAGTTATTTCTAACGAACTCGCGTCCGTTTTCGACAAAGGGCCGTTCGATATCTTTTTTTTTTTTTTTTCATTTTTTAGGAAACAGGCATCGTTTATTACCTCATGCTTCTTTCGATTGTAATCTGGAAAATATTGAAGACTCGACGCACGATATTTTCCACCTACTTTCTTGGTTACTGAAACATATTTGGAATAGACTAACGTTTAAGTTAACGTCTGAGGGAATTACATACCTGGATTCCAGTTACACTTACATCACTTACGTAATTTTGTCTCGACGTGGTCGCTGCGCGTGAAACAACAACAGTAATCAGAATCCCTCGACGATGTTTTCAGAAGATTCGGCGAATTACCCTTCGTCCCTTTGATATCACGACACTGGTGCAGCGATTTTTGAGAATGATATCTGAAAAATATCTCTCGTACGTCCCCCACTCTCTTATACGTTCCTTAAATTTCTTGAAAATCTGAACAATACCTTGGATTTAAGAGATCGAGTTCCGAGTAGAGGCAAGAATCGTCTTCACTGGATATAGGAGTTCTAGATTCCTCCTGAAAATATCACCCGTGATCTTTCCATTAAAACAACTACCATCGATCGTGGTGGATCAATGTCACGCGGAAATCTTTCGAAGAAGATCGATCGATTATCCCAACGAAAATTGAAAGCGAACGACATATCACAGACATTTCTAATTCCACGATAAAATATAACCAAAGACGAGCCTCTCCTTTCTTTTCTCGACCTACATGACCCTGGTCCATCCTCGTGGCAAAAGGTTAAAAAGGACACTCGAAAGGCTCGGACACGACACGACGTGCCTTCCTCGATAATCGGAGGAATAATCGATGGTCTCGACGATATCCAAGAGCGTGTTACTCACGTCATAACGCGTTAAACCTGTTCGCATGGTACGAGTCGCATGGTACGGTCACGCAGAAAGCACTCGGAGAGCGGCCGACATCGCAGAACGTTGGGGTCTCTGGTGGGGTTAAGATCGTTGAAAGTGTTCGGCGGACAAACGATCGGTTCGATGCTCAAAACGGCCGGGGCATTTAACGAAGAGAACAAAGAACGGAAGGAAAGGGGGATCGTCGCGAGTGTTGGGAGAGAAGAGACCCTTGGAAACCAAACAACGCGCGACAGGCGAGCGAGCGAGCGCGGAGCGTGGCGTCTGCGTCTGTCCGCGACCCTCGTCTGTTCTCCCCCCGCCCCACCCCCTCCTCGGATGAAAATTATTCTCGCCCAAGAATTCGAATGGAGACGCGGCTTTAGGATCACGGTAATCGGCCGTGACGGATCCATTTCCACGGAGGAGGGGGGACATTATCGAGAGAAGCGAGCGCGATTCTCTACCCCTCGTGAATTCAGAGTTTACGAGCTCGTTGAAATTACGAGCGCCGGTGAGTGGCTTCGACTCGCTTTCCTCTTCCCGCTGATTTTATGTTATTTAACTCTCTCTCTCTCTTTCTCATTCTGTCTCTTACGAATATCCTCTATACGAAATATGCTCGATCGACGCTTTCGGATAAGCGGATAAAGGTTTTTTTTAAGAGGAGGCTTCTCTTTTTTTTTTTTATTTAATTTCTTTCCTTTTAATTACACATTCATTTCGTTTTACAGATTCGAAAAATACTCGATCAATTCGATAGAACTGGAAACTGTTTGAAAAGCATCTATCCATGTACAGGTTCGAAATGTACGTTTTTCGATACTTCTCGAAATATTCATACCTCTTAAGAAATCAAGAGCGAAATTCAGCGACGACCACGTACGCGTTTCTTCTTTAAAAAAAAAAAAGAGGAACGTGCTCGATTCAAAATCCATCCCTCTCGTGAATACACCCTCTCGATGTAAATCTCGAAATTCGAATAGCGATTTTCCCCCACCCTCGATCTTAATCACTCTCCCACGTACGAAGCCCATACGTCGAGGCTCGTATTCATCTCGACCGTGGAAGCGTAACGTAATATCCAGAAGCCCCGGGGAAAACAGCTGATCCCGAACCTCGAATGTGGAGCATCCACGTGTTGAACGAGCTTGCGAGTTTTTCCACGCCGTCTTTGCTTTAAATGCATCCAGACGTAAATAGAGACATAATGAGCAGGGTTGGAGGGAGGGGAGGATCGGAGATAACGGTCTCGAGAGGAGATAGAGAGAGAGAGTAGAGAGAGAGAGAGATATCTGGACGGAGGGAGAAAGCGGAGAGGGTTGGAGAGCGTGGGTGGTGGTGCCTGGCGGGCTGCATCGATCGCTTCGGCGTCCTGGTGACCTCGACCTAATGCCACCCTCTTCTGCTCTTGAGCACAACCCTCCTCCACGCCGCCTCCACGGGGTCAGTTAACACCCCCGTCAAAACACACAAAGCCCCGGGAATCGTGAAGAGGGGGGGAGTAAGAGGGAATATCACGACCCGTTCCACTCGGAAGTGTCGACTTCCCCTGCTCTCGATACATCGAACGAGAACCGGTCCCGGCTGGCCAACGATGATGAATCCTTTACGCCGATTGGCCGAACGATTTTCACGATCGATTCACGAGAAGAGAAGTTGTATCGGTCGTTCGATTTTAGAAGCAATTTTTCTCTCCCTCTCCCTCTCCCTCTTTTTCTCTCTTGAGTTCGTAATTTAGATAGAAGTTTGTACGAGGTAGTTCGATGAAGTGGAATGGAAATGAGAAATTCGTAGGGGAGGATTATTGATCGATGATTTCGGATTGGATTTAGGTTAGCCCGTTTACGAGAATCGTCGTGTATTACGTTGTCGTATACACAGCTTCGATATTAATTAGACTCGTGACAATGCAATATAACTCGTCGTTTATAGAGATATTTAACACGAACCTAATTCACGCCTAATCCCTTCCCCGATCAAAACTCAAAATTCTCTCGCCCCGCTATCACATCGCTTCGCGCGAACATTCATCCCCGTTTCCATTCTGCCCGATTAATGCTACAACTACGATCTAAAAAAAAAAAAAAAAG